AATAGATATGCTACAGCCATTTTCTGATCTACAACATCCGTCATGCTGAATGCAATTTCCTAAACGATGTTGTTGTATTCGCGTTCAATATAGGGGGACGGTATTGGAACTGAGCTGTATCGATTAGATTCTCAATAGGGGGATTTCAGTGCATCAAATCTTAACTGACTCTTAGAATGTTCAGTTGCAACACGTTTCTGGTCTCGCGTTCTTCGTCATGATCCAACACCTCGCGAATGGGGAGTCTCGCAGAATCAGGCAGTAGTTTGTGTTATACAATAACATCAGAGGTGACTCCGAATAGACCCTGAGAATGTGAGGTTCATTGTGATTACCGCAGAACCGCTAGACCGAGAGCATTTACAAGTTATATACTGTAGACATGTCAAAAGTTAGAGGAAAATAGACCATGAGCGAGGTGGATAAAGAAACTTGACCCGGGCTCGAACCAACATAAAACTCTGATTGTAGCATCCGCCTACCAGTGATTATATACTAATTCCTCTACGATACCACTGCAGTTTCATTAACAGGGAGGTTGACTGGAAAATTATCCAGAGCAGGCTATTCGGGAACACGGGGACAGGTCGACGCACAATAAGCGGCTCGCTGAGACTCTTAACCTCAGAGGGGGGGCCCTGTACGAACTAAGGATCACTGTTATGCCACGGGTCACGAATCATGATCCATATGGTATGGATATTCATTACTTGTGACTCGCGTCATAGCTAACCCTTAACAGCTACAGGACAAAGATGCGGACAAGCTGAGCTTAACACGCTGTGTAAGAGCAGTCTAACGGAGCAGTAACATCACTTGTGATTTATTCATCCACAACAATGGTTTGCCAACTCGGTATCAATGGTTTCGGTCGTATCGGCCGTCTTGTTTTCCGTGCCGCCATGGAGAATCCTGAGGTCAAGGTCGTTGCTGTCAACGATCCCTTCATGAACATTCCCTACATGCAGTACCTCCTCAAGTACGATTCTGTCCACGGTCAGTTCAATGGTACTATCGAGGTCGCTGAAAACGCCCTCATTGTGAACGGTCAGACTATTCAGGTCTTCTCTGAGAGGAACCCCTGCGATATCCCGTGGGGTAAGGCCGGTGCTGATTATGTCTGCGAGTCCACTGGTGTCTTCACTACTGGTGAGAAGGCCTCTGGCCATATTCAGGGTGGTGCTAAGAAGGTTGTCATCTCTGCTCCCCCTAAGGATGACACTCCTATGTTCGTGATGGGTGTTAACAACAAGGAGTATACGTCCGATCTCAAGGTTGTCTCCAACGCCTCGTGCACTACTAACTGCTTGGCCCCTCTTGCTAAGATCATGAACGACAACTTTGGTATTGTCGAGGGTCTCATGTCCACCATTCACGCCACTACTTCCACTCAATTGACCGTCGATGGTCCCTCTAAGGGTGGTAAGGACTGGAGAGGAGGCCGTTGCGCTGCTGCCAACGTCATTCCTTCCTCCACCGGTGCCGCCAAGGCCGTCGGTAAGGTCATCCCCTCTCTCAACGGTAAGTTGACTGGTATGTCCTTCCGTGTCCCTACCCCTGATGTTTCTGTTGTCGATCTTACCTGCCGTCTCGAGAAGGCTGCCACCTACGACGAGATCGTTGCCGCCGTCAAGGAGGCCTGTGAGGGTGACATGAAGGGTGTCATGGGTATCACTTATGATGATGTCGTCTCCACTGATATGTGCAACGACAAGCATTCTTCCATCTTCGATGTTAAGGCCGGTATCGCTCTTAATGAGCACTTCGTCAAGCTCGTCTCCTGGTATGATAACGAGTGGGGTTATTCCAACCGTCTTGTTGACCTCGCTGTTCATATGAGCAAGGTTGACGCCACTGCATAAATAGATATGCTACAGCCATTTTTCTGATCTACAACCTTCCGTCATGGCTGAATGCCAATTTCCTAAACTATGTTGTTGTATTCGCGTTCAATATAGGAGGACGGTATTGGAACTGAGCTGTATCGATTAGAGTCTCAATAGGGGGATTTCAGTGCATCAAATGTTAACTGACTTTCAACCTGATCAGTTGCATGGCAATGCCATGATCAGAAAGGTGCCATAATGGCACATTTCTGATCTCATTCATCGTCATGATCTCGCGCTTCATCAACGAACGTCAGGAGGAATGTGGTGTCGCAGAGTCAGACAGCAATCCGTCTTGTATAATACCGATAGGGGTAGTCCCGAATTAACCCGAATAATGCGAGGTCCACTGTAGTTAACACAAAACCGCTAGATTGAGAGCACAGATGAGCAACTGGTCAAAGATCTACTCACAGTGGTTAACACAAAACCGCTAGATTGAGAGCACAGATGAGCAACTGGTCAAAGATCTACTCACAGCGCGGTAACATAAACATTTCTCAATACAGTTAATTGTGTCTCTCCGCCATACGAAAGCAGCCTACCTCAGTGCACCATGATGGATGGTGGCCCAGAGGCAGGCGGTGGTGCCAACTCCTCTGAGCTTGAGATCTGCACACGATGTTTTCGCCTCTGCTCCTTCTGTTTAGGCGAGTGTGTCTCCTTCGGAGCGCTCGTCGATTGAGGCACTTCTGAAGCTGAAGAAGGCCTATGTCCTGAATGCCCAAAAGTTTCGTCAGAAACATCTACGCCATTCGCGGTGGCGTGTGAGGCCGCATAAGTATACTTCAAGCTCTTCGACAGGGCGACTCAATCCAGATCGCCGTCGTTACTTTTCCCGCCTGTTTTGTCGGCACCATCACAGTCACAGTCGACTGCCTCCACCTCTCGCTTGAGTATCTGCATCTTCTGCTGATGCCTTAGGACTCTGTCTCTCAGCCCGGAGGTCTGCACGGGCTGAGTAAGGCGAGGATCCTCGCAACAGCAGCAACCAACACAGCCACCGCAACCCTCGAGGCTGACAAAGCACTGTCGGTCGTCTCAATAGCATTCAGCTCGTACTTGAGTATCAGTATCAGGGCGACACCAGTCTAGTCCTCCCGGGAGTAGTCCTATTGACAACACGAAACTTGAAAGTTGATTGAGAAAAACCAGCAACTGTCTAGAGAGACTTCGAGTCCACCATCCCACCAGAGCTCGGTACTACGACACCGATTAGGGCGACTACAGACTACTGGCACCAGAAATAATCTCACACAATTCGGTGGTGATCTTCGACTGACGGGCCTTGTTGAACCTGAGCATCCCGCCGCTTCGAAAGGCTCTAGAAACTCGACACTTACTGCAACTCCAACTTATCGATCATATCTGCTGCGTTTCTCGAGGCGTTCTCCATTGCGGACATACCTGCGACCGAATGATGCCCAAAGGGGCCCGGCGAGGGCGGCTTACGTGCACTCTGCTCAGCAGCGATGGAGTCCAGCATGTAACCGAAGACGCAGTTAGCCAAGTAGAAATCATGAAGGTCATAAAGCACTTCGAAAACCGAGGGCTCGAAAGAATACTGGTCGACGGCCTTTGACCATTCGCCCTGACCAACAACGTCGTGATATATATGCACGCCTCCACCCATCACTACTATAGGAACTTAATACTGTCACTACTGTTCCTACCACTCTTCTGGATAATTCTGCTACTTACAACAGTTTCACCACCCTAGCTATACTAAGGATACTATCATTGGGTATATAATAATAATACAGCTATAGTTCTATGAGAGCAAGTCGTCGCAGCTACAGCAGAGATGCTAGGATGGTAGAACTGTCGATACATAGCTAGAATCAAATTGCTGCTCCAAGCTGACTCAGGATTCAGCAAGCATGAATAGAGTATCAGAGTCGAAGGGTCACAGAAAGGTGCAGGGAATACTCTCAAACTACTATTGGATGGCGACAACGGTAAATCTAACATTCATTACAAGTGCAGTTGTGATGGTCGATAGCCCTCTACTACCCTGTCCATCTCCCGACACTCTTTCAGCGTGACCACGCGACTTTCCAACGTATCGAAGGATATCACCGATTTGAAGTGGTTCGATAGGATGGTCAGACGATCGGGGTTACTGCGAATCACTCGCTCTGCTATCGCGCTGGCCTGGGCGAAATTCCAAGGATATTTTTGTACCTGACCACGCCTTAGATGAGCGCAGTAGATCCATCTAGTTCGAGATACATCTTCCATGCAGACTTCGAAGCGGTCAGCGAATAGTCTCCTCAACGCTGCTGTGCCCTTTCCACCAACCCCTATGTACTTAGCCGTACCACCGTTGGCCTCCACTTCCATTATCTAATGAGTTATCTCGACAACAGCGATTCTCGCGGAGTCATTACCATTGTTCGAGCTCGCTTTGTGATCGAGGAGTTGACTCCCCCACACAGACCTTTGTCTGACGTTAGACCAAGGATGGTGGCAGGGCCTGAGGACCATCAGAACGATACGGAGGAGGCCGGGCCTACCCTTAGGGATGCCCTCGTCGACTGGGAGCCTCTTGAAGAAGTCTATGACTGGTTGAGCGAAGGGCATGCCGTTTACCACACGGTCCTCGTCACTACGCAGTTTCGAGGCGGCAACCATCTGAACGTTACACCAGATCAATAGTACTTTCGACCACCGATGGTCAACGGATCCTGTTAGATAATGAACAATGGCTTGAGTTCATCACAGAGGAAGTGCAAGACTAGCAAGCACTCATGGATGAGATGCAGTTCTTCCGTGGAGTCGACCAAGTATTAATATTCAATAGATGTCATATAATGGAGTTTCAACCGTGATATGAAAAACAGTAGTGAAAAACATATTTCACGACTACTACAGGCCGCGAATATCGCGTTTTTCACCGAGTTTTACGTCATTTCACGTAAAACAGGTGAAACTCCAATATGTTACCTATAGATATAAGTTACCATAATAATATGATAAAAGTAAACAGTAAATTAGCATTACTTCCACATATATCTTCATAATACCCCAGGCCTACCTTCATGGCCTTAGTGATCTTCTGGATAGAAGTCACAGACTTCATACGAGTCTTCACCGCCTTCAAATTTGACATGATCACTCAAAACTCAACGAGGGTCGCATGAAGTATCTGTAGTTCATCGACGATGTAAAAGTGAGTCAAAAATTCCGGCGACGCGCATAGACGATTATACGACGATTGCGTACGGGCAAGTAGGAATCGACTGTGCGTGCTGCTCCACACATATTTGCAGTTGTCCATTCCAATGGGTCAGGAGATATCTGAGCTCAACAAGCCGCCGGTGGCTACTGATGAGCCCGCTTCACTCAGCGGCCTAACGCCCTTGGATTTCCCATCCTCACAAGATTACACGTCTCAGGGTTTGTCACTGGGTCACCGTCCACCGCCAACTGATGAAGGCGGCGGCGACGACCGCGGAGATGGTGACGGTGGTGGTGATGGCAATTTCCATGGTGGGCTGGTCATACCAGAACAAGCGTCATTCGATATGGGTTACTCGTCATCGATGAATCACGAGCGGTCTTCAGAGCTAGGTGGTGGTGGTGGTGCCGGTCCCAGTGTCATGCCACACTCTCAAGAAGAACAACTACAGCAAATCCTGCTAAGGCATCAAGGACAGGTTCAACGTCCTCAGAGAGGAGGTGCTCAGAGGCAACAACAGCAACAACTACTCCAACAACAACAGCAACAGCAACAAGCAGCACAGGCAGTGCATCAGCTGCTACTGCAACTGAATCAACAATCTCAGCAGTCCACTCGAAGAGGTGTTTCAACTCGCCCTGCCAACGATAGAGGCTTCAACATCACATCGTCCCGTTACAGTTCAATCCCAAGTCCTAACGTTGGTCAAGCTACTGATATAAAGATCAATCGACTTAGTGAGGAGGAAGTGACGAAGATCGTTGAAACCGAGGGCTATAAGGATATCAATATTTACGATACGAGTGTGCCTGCTGAGTTGAAGAAGGTGTTGGCTGGTCTACACAGCGATGGGAGGGGCAGCGGCCTCGGTGAACTAGAGTTCAAAAGCACTAGACTGTCGCCCAATGCTGCTGAGTTTGTCCCCGGTAAGCCCCTTGGAAGTAGTAGCACTCTGACCACAACACGCCAGCCGCAATCTGTCTCTACCACTGCCAGTTTCACACAGGCAGCAACAAGCGGTTATGACCGTGGTCAGTTTCAGGAACAGAACTTTTTGCAGGCTCTTTACGAGTATGGCCTCATAAAATGAGGTTGTTAGTCCTGCGATGTTTTGCCATTAGTCACTTGTTGATTTTTACGCTCATCGATACTTGAACAACAAAGATGCGGCGGACTTCGTTCCAACCCATATTCTCACTTTGGCCAGTTTCTCTTTGTGTTGTCAAGTCATGGTAAGGCGATTCGAAGCTGGATTGCTGACTTAACGACGAGGGCTAATGTGGACTCGTAAGAGAGCTCATGAGTGTTAATCTCATTGCTATAAAGATTGGCACTGTGCAACTTCATAATCGACGTATACACCGCGGAGAGAAATCCCCCTCCTTAACGTTATATCCTGAAGTTCGTAGTCATAGAGAAAAACTTGGCTAGATCTATTGTCCAGGTGAATTCCTAACGACTCGCTGAGCGCCTTTGGCGACCTTGGCTCGAACCGATCCAAGGTCTCGAGTGAAACCCTGGCTATTTGGAAGTTCCTCACTCCTGCAATTAGTATGAACTATCATGTTAAAGACTCGCCGAATCGGCTACAATGATCAAGTAAGGCCTTGCAACAAGTTGCAAAAGCCTTGCCCGAGTTTCCATCATCTGCCACATTGTCCCAGAATCGCGATAACGGCCAAGTAAATGACCGCTGATCCATCCAAGACTGCGTTCTTGTACGTCTTTTTATGAGTATTGAAAATGATTGCCTCCCGATCCCGACTGGGAGGCTTGTCAATGACCACCTCCTGACTCTTCGATGAGGGAAGTAACCACAAAGTCGACCACCATATATCCTGCGGGGTTTGAATGAATCCCAAATGATTTGTTTCGAAAGGCTCATGTACCCAATGCGATTTGTTCTAATTCGAGAGATCATGCTTCTCTCCTCGATTGGTTTCAACAGTCGCCATGACTTGGCTCTGTTTTTGACTTATGAATGTTAACTGCATATCGACAGCTTGCCTGGCGCGAGCGTTAACCTTTTCGTGGCGCGAGGTAACGTTCCCAACGTCCGAGGCTCGATGACTGGTGAACTGGTTAGTCATACCACAACAATTTCAACTTCCATAGAAACAAAGCGTTACCACATCTGATCAAAGTTGAATACATCATGCCCACGCATTCCTTGGCTTTCTTCATCGCCGCCTAAAAGACAATGACCCGATAACGTCTTATCAGCCTCACCCTCCTGAGAAATTGCTCGTAACAGATCTGCCCAACTCTCTTGCTCAGTATCCACATCAGCCCTCGGCTGCTGCTCAACGTCGTCTTCCGCCCCGTAGAGTAGCCGCCTGATGGTGAACTGTCCCTTCTGCGATAGTAAGGCTTACCTCAAATCATCAAGCTCTTCAGTGGGCCGTTGCTGAGTTGGAACACTTTGTGAAGGCTCAGCAGCCCCGTCTTCTTCCACTTTCGTCTCCACTGCTCTACTCAACTGTCCACGCCTCGACACCGGAGTACTCGCCACCTCCTGAACGGTGACATAACAATGCTCCAATAGTTTCCTCCTTACAATGCGATTCTCAGGATCCGGAAGCTCATACGCCATTTGAGAGCCACCTATGGTATCAGCCTCAGGCGCTGACACTCTCGTAACCGGTCGCTGGCGGCTGCCCGAGCTCCTTCGGTTCGCTATCGGCACTTCTGCTCGGGGGCGGAAGGGACGCCCCAAAGACTGATGGTCCCTTGGCTCGAGGTCAAGCTGTTCGCCATTCGCTGTACTCTGGACCAGAGTCACATTGAACGAACCATAGTCGATGCCACCTAGTCAACAACGATCGAGACACGACTTGGAACATTCCTCACTCGGTCCACGGCATTTCACCGACAGGGCTATCTCAGGGGCGATGAAGATCTGCAACGGGCCGCTCTTCCCCTTGAGAGTCCCTTCAGATAAGAAAGCGCCCACTAGAGCGAGCAACTCTGTGAGGGAGACCGAGAAGGAGATGTCGCCGGGCGGTATGTTAGATGCAGACAGCTGGCCGATCGGGAGCATAGACTCCTTCACACCCACATGGAGGTGGTGACCTTCGACATCATCATTAACCGCTTGAGCATCGTCCCGCTCAGATGAGAACTGACTAGGATAGTAGCAGGGATAGTCGAATCACAACTGCTCACTCTAAGTTCATCAGCGCCATCACGATGCGATACCGACACGTAAGTGGCTGCCGCCGCAGTCGAAGCATGTGACCCAGAAGCGAAAGACGAAAGCACCACGTTCAACCTAATAGGCCGAGACTTCGCTTACGCGGTATGAGATTCACTGGAAGAGCAACAACGCTTACGGTCAATGCTGGGGAAACATATGTTTGCTATCCCCAGCAGAGTTCAGGAGTTTCCTCACTAATCGTGGGAGTTTACATACGGATTAGGGTAGACGCCCATAAAAACCAACAAAAAGTCGTCAAAAAATCTCATCGGAATTTTCTTATCATCACCATCACATGTACATAAACCTGTGCATACTTTCCCACACTGCCTACGATACATACCTACCGTTCTGATGAACACGATAATGAGCACACACTGTCGGCAGCGCATATAGACTGTTCTGAAGGGATACAAGATACCTGAACAGATAGTCTTCCCGTGGTAGTTGCCACCATACTCGTCATACTCGAGATCCCTCACCAAGCCGCAGCTTATGCTCTACCACTATACCGTGTTCGCTACGGAACAGTAACATCAGCTTGGAAGCATTCAGAGTAAGTTCAACCTCAACCAAATGAATAGCAGATACGCATTGGAACGTATGCGCCACCATACGGCACGGCAAAACACCAAGTAGACCATCTTGGGAGTTTCCATAACCTGACCATAAACTCTTCCAGAAACAGAGGCGAAGCTGGAAGTACCCTGAGATCGGTCCGAATGAGTCGCAAAACCTCTTCGAAAGTCAACCACAAGGCATGCAGTTTGCGTATCGTTGGCAGCTTGCAGTGACAGTATCACCACTGAAGCGTCATCCACAGTTGGAGGGGGCGAAGGAGCATACCTCGCATTGAAGGCAAGAACAAGGGGGCAAGCAGTAGATCCTGTGTACAGTATAAGGTCGTGGTCAACTCTAGATGCTAGTATAACTGTCTTCAGAAATATCCGCGCGGAGTTGGGCGACAACCGACAGTGTAGTGTCGACTCTGATGCCGACATTCTCCTACAACTGCCACCACCAACAACAACTACTCCCATCATCAACTCTCAACACAGCATCTCATATAATGGGAAGCCTTTTCAGATTTTTACGGTATTCATATTAATCGTAGTTCCTCTTTCGCCTCCGTATAAGATTCGCTGTTGTCAGGATGTTGCAGGAATTCGCGCAGAGCCGTCTTGACTTCTCCCTTGAACTCAGAGAGCTCCTAATGTAACAAAACCAAACTCGCCCTTCTTACAGGCGTTTCCCATAGGAACCTCACCCTCAGCTTTTCTCCCGGGAGGTACCCCTCACTGACCGAAGTGCACAATTCTTGACAGAGTAGAGCCCGACACTGCTCATCCTCACCAAATGCCTTCAATAGACTCAACACGGTCATTCTGAACCTATCGAAGAGAACCTCCCATATAAAATGCCACGGCGCCACCCACCCTTTCCAGTTGCTGTTGACCTCCCATATGGACGAGTTACGCAGCAGCTTCGATACAACTTCCGTGGTGATGAACTTAGCCATGACCGCTTCGTTTTGAGCTAGCTGCAACGTGACACGCATAAACAATGGTGGAGGTTCTTGGTCAACGTCGAGTCTTTCAGCGATCGACTGCAGCACCAGGCCGAGATGCTGGACTTCATAACTGAGTACCAGCGACTTCAGGACCACCTGCGGATTCTCGAGCAGCCCACCTCTTGCCACGTAGGTCGAAAACAAGATTCATCATCTTCATCAGCCGTGCTGTTGGGATCTCCTGCATCTCCAATAATGCACAAATAACCTGATCCATATCGCAGCTTATCGTTCTTAGTCCATCTTCCAATACCCGTAAGTTTTTCCAATATTTCCAGTATGATCACTCAAATTTCCTATCACTAAACGCGAAAAACTAGTAAACGAATTCGCCCAAGTAGAACACGGAAGAACCCAGTGAAGAGTTTGACATTGTCATCCAAAGCACTCGATGATATCATTCCAAGATTTGATTTTGACTGCTGAAGCGCACTGTCTGGCCTTAGGACTTGGAGACACCAGCCTTTATCAGCTGTACCATTGCTCGTGCTCATGATATGTCATTGAAGAAAGAATAACCCAGTGAATGGTCGAAACAAGCAGACCTGCCATGGTCACTACTGTCCCTCCTACTCACCTCGATAGCGGTCACTCAAGCCCCACTGGCTTTCTCCAGGAGTCGCCCCATACCCACCGTTGTGAACTCCAGGTTACCCTTACTATACCTACCAGTACAGGTACGCCTCGTCCACCTCAAAGCTCAGCTGTGTCATTGACTTACATCCGTTCCTCGTTGACTACAGCTGAGAGGTAGCTGCTCAACACTGCATCATGAGGACATCCAGGTAGGACCTAAGACAAGATCCCCATAAGGTCAACCATGCTGGCCATCAAACTTACCGCCAAGAGGAGACGACTGTCCACAGAGGGGGCATCGCCCTCATCCATCATGTCAGTCACTGCCTGGACGTATCCCTGACTGCTGAGCCGTCTTCTTATAGCGACCTCGGGCGCCTTCATCATCTCCATAAATATGCCCGCCAGCCTATCGACGGCGTACGATGCTGAAAGAGCAAAAAAGATACTGTACCAGAACCCACTGTATATAAAAAAGGATACCATCTATACGAGGCCCCAGAAGCCAACTTACGCTGGCAGCTGCGTTGCACCACTTCCCTCACTGACGCCACAATTGCCGAATCCACCACTTGGCTCGGCGCCTCAGCCTTGTTGGGCTCAGTCTTGCCACCAGCTTGCTCCGCTCTCATTGCCTCTACTATCGCCACAGGAACTTGGGCTGTGAGATGAGATACCAGGCCCTGAGCATGAACGGAATACTAGATCCCCAAAGCGTTCATCAAACTCACCGGATGGAGATCACCACAGGCAACCACTGTATGTAGCAACGAGGGCCTCTTAGGAAGCATTTGCAAAAACCTATACACGGCATCAAGACAGCGTGGAGTATAGAAGCCTACAAGGACGCCCTGGCCGTGGCGGGCGGCTCCTCCTCCTCTCCTTTTCTGTCCTCTTCAATGGCCTTCGCGATAAAGGGAGCGAACTCATTCAGCTGTGGAGCCGAGGCAGCAAGTATGCACCCAAAGGCGTACTCCTCGAGACCACTACAGCAGCAATGACAGGACACCAACACTCGGACCTTCCCACCTAGTCATCAGCCAGCCACAGTCTACCCAGTCTTCAGCTCTAGAGGGATCCGACATGTGTTCATCCGCTGGCTCCCCCAGGCTGAAAAAGCGACCAAGCTACTTCAATGCAGTGTGGGAAAATATGCACATAGTTAACCACACGTGTCGGTGACAATGAATAAATTCTGCGGAAATTTTGGGAAATGCTTCTTGGTTTCTGTGCACTTCTACCCAAATTCCTACGTAATTTTCTATACTCACTGAGGAAACTCCTGAAATATATTCCAACTCGGAAGACACGACAGGGCAAAAGCATTTCTATATAAACCTACTAAGGCCATCTCCACGTGCCTTCACACGTCTCCTTGTCGATTGGTGGTAACGCTGCTGGATTATAAAACTTATCGGGCGCGAGAATAAGCTTAGTCGCGTCAGCTCTGATATCTTCACTAGGCCCCAAGGCACTCGTGCGAGCCAACCCCAAGAAGGCACTGAGGGACATGATCTCTGTCACCATAAGTAGTAGAGACTACCTCTGCCTTGTCGTCGGCCCCCCAGCGACTGTTCTTTCAGCACCAACCCTTTCCGCCATAACCGCTCGTAGAGCCAACAGTGCCTGCCTCGGCCCATGACCAGCCCAAAGGGGCCACCAATCAACTCACCTGTCGGCGCTGCTTCACAGCTTCCGATGCACCCGAAGCCGCATGCCACAGGTACTCCACAAAGCACATCGGGACGGCGGGTAGGGCAAGGAGGAGAATACGTATGTCGTGACTGAAAACAGACATGCATAACCAACCAGCCATCCCAGCCCGGACAAATACACAGTGAGGTAATCTCGCTTTAGGATTTCCGTTAGGAGAATCTGCGATGCCCCTTCGTAGGTCAGCGGAATATCTCCTAAAGAAACTCAGACCGTTGCGGACGACTCAGTCACGTTCGGTTACCACCTTCATTAGCAGCAGCCAATGCATGGCGACTCGCCATCAACTCCACCACCCCACAATCGACCTGCACTAAGCGTATGCGATACCACACCCGAGCAAGCCTTACCAGATGGACCGGCTGTTGCTCCGGCTCAGTCGTCGGTCTAGTCCGATCTGATCATAGGAATAAACACGATGATGCCCACAGAACTCCAAGGCCCACCCAAGAAATACTGCAGCGCCATCTGCGTGAACTCTGCCTCCTTTCCACGAGTATTGCAAAGGTGAGCCACAAGGCCCGAGTAAGTGTCCTTGAACCATTGCGTGGCCGTTTTCTCGAAGCACGGTGAGCTCAGTGCCGAACTCTCATACCGACTCAGTGCTTTCAACACGCTAGAGAAGATCGCCTGAAGTAACCCTATAAGACCACCGAGTTCAACCAGACTCCATCTAGGAAATCATCCAGAAACCTACGATGTTCCCGGGAGGAACTCACTTTCACATGTAAATGTCACCCTAAGAACCTTTTCCTCACTGTTATTAAACTTCAAACAATGCTATCTCTCAAAATTGAATCTCTGCGCGGCTCACCTTAGTAAGTTCATCCCTCGCCTCCTTAGCTGCCGCAGGGTCCACCGGTCCAACCCCCTTCTGTTCAGGCGACTCCACCACATGAGGCAATTCCTCTTCTGTCTCCTCTCCTGAATGGCTCCACCATGGCCCGACTACTCCCAACTCTACCTCACCATTTTCATCATCAGTAACTTCCAGGAAGTCCTGTGCTGTACAGCTGAAGAGCGCCTTGGCCCGGTCGAGCTTTCGCTGGACAGTGGCAGTGTTGCTGAACCCATCCGCGTCCGTCACCCGTATAACCCTCTGTATTGTAGCCTCGGCCTGTCACAACAACAGGCGGGTGGGGGAAATAAGCACATAGTGTGGGTGACAATACGAACACTTTGAGGAAATTTCTGGAAAATTTCTCATTGGTTTTTGTGCACTTCTACCAGAATTCGTGTGTAACGTTATATAATTAGTAAGGAAACTCAAACAGAGAAATTCCGAAACTGGCCCGACCGGAAATATTCCCTCAACACTCACATTGACCAGTTCCCTCGGCAGCCTGCCTAACAGCTTCTGAACCATCCTTGTTAGGGAATCATTCGAGCCTGTAGCCCTCACTGCACATACAGCCACCACGTGCTCCTCATCAACCATGTCAATGCCTGCCCACACTACTACTAGTAAGGGAGAGCTGCCAGCAGGTCCGCTCACCTGAGAGAGTCTTCTCATCTTCGATTTTACGTCGCTTCGCATGCGGCTCCGGCCTTGTGGGGTCCTACAAGCAACTCACGAGAGACTTCACCCGTATATTACCTCGCCAGCGAAGACCTCCCGAAGCCTTGCTTGCTCAGCTTCGAACACCATCTGGTCCAGCGTCTCCTGCTCAATTTGACCTGCACAGAGAGATCACCGCCCCATACCACAACTCGGCCAAATTCCACATGATACATCATCCCACTTAATGCGATCCCGAGTACTACATGCTACTACTACTACTACTACTACTACTACTACTATTACTACTACTACTACTACCTGCAGCCTGCAGTAACTGCTGTAGGATAGCAGCCAGTTTAGGTTGCCACTGCGTACACTGGGGTGACGCCAGCATCCTTCGGACGGCCTGCACTCCCATCAACCAGCAGCAGCACCATTCCAGCCTATCCCACCTGTATCAACGCCGATCGTAGTCTGCCGGTCTTGCTAGAGACTTCCATAAGGTCCTCGAAACCACTCGCAAAAGTGAGCATGATGCCCTGAGAGCAGCGACTCCTAAGCTCCAACACATCACACACTCATTACCTGTGCATTGGCCGAAGCCCTTTCAGCTCCGATAACCCCGAGAGCTCTCACCACAGACACCATTTCACCCTGACAACAGCAATAACAGCATAATTGCTAGCCATTGGCTTCCCAAGAAAAATGCTCATATGCTGATATAAAGCATGAACATCCTCCTGTGGCCAGTATCACTACCTCCGTTCTCTTGTCTCCTTCCGAGCCTCCAGCAGAGGTCTCATCCCACTCCTCTCCATGAGACACAGTGAGCATCATTTTACACAAAGCCAGCACGATCTGCTCCGAGTCCCGCTGCAGTTGAGCCTCATCTAGCCCCCCTTGGAAAGAGCCGTCCCCAGCATCTCCTTGTAGGGGCAGAGACAACCTGCTCGCCAACAGCTACATTGCTTTTACCGGCCTGGGAAAAACTCCACTTCAGATCATCCAGACAACTGGCGCCATATTCTTCTAGGTATGCCTGGGACTTCATCCCAAGAGCTCGTCCACTAGTGTCCGTCCCGCTGCCCTCGAGAGAGCTCTGGCATAGTGCGATGATGGTCAGAGCTTCCACTGCTGCGATGAAGGTGCCATGATGACCTGACAATGAACATTCCACTACGGTCACCCATACGAACTACATCTGATAGACCTCATTAAGGTGTGATATGTTTCTATCTACTTCACCAAATCTACTCAATCCTAGTACACCCGACATGTCGTTATTTTAAACAATTCCGTTCCTGCTGAGTGTGCGCCACCACACTCGCTGATAGTGTTCGACGCTAGCCCCCATCATACTACCTCTCGTAGAGTGCTGTGCTATTCCAGCCAAGACTGCCCTCAACAACTGTGCGCTCTCTCGAGCCATAGCAGCACTCTGCTGCTGTTGATGCCGCATTGCTGCTGACTGTCCATCAGCATCAGCCGACATCATCAACAAGGTCAGCTGCTGCTGTGCCTAACTCCATAGAGGTCCCACCGAATCTACCAGTAGCATCTCCATCACCTGCTTCTGCACTACGCTGGTCCAATAGATAGCCCTCGGGTAAATAGTCCGCGCTGCTTCCAGTGCCAGTCGTACAACACCCATATCGTTATCAGAGAGCAACGTACAGAGGGTAGAGAGGCATCTCAGAGAGTACCTACCACAGCAATGTGTGGTTCATCACGACGGCAAGAGGACCTACCGCGATCGTGTATAGCATAGGTTGTGTATAAAGTGAGCACAGAAGCGTCTGATAGGAGCCAACCGGTCGAGGTGGAAGGCCAGAAAGGTGTCCAAGAATTCATCGATTCTCTGGTCATTCGGCGCGCTGTGGTACCTGTTGACCAACTCCTCACTACTGCATCTTCAATCCCAACGATTACAATAGAAGTTCGGCTGCTTGCTGCAGGAGTTCTATTCGAACCTCCACATTGCTCGCTCTGTGAGCTTGGGAGAGTAGAGCCACTAACCTCTCCTGGCTGCGGGAGGACCCAGCGGCCATCATATCGGCCAAGGCTCCCGAAGACGACGACGAGGACATCTATGGTCACCACCAACTACTTGTGTTCCAGAAGCTTCATTTAATCCCGTAGACCCTTTGAGCAGTTGATACAGTCACAAATCCCAGGAGCATTTGAAGCGAGTGTGGTATTGAGAATAATCAACACAAGACAACAGGGGGTTCAGATAGGTTGGCCGATGAGAAACGTGTGGTAGTCTTTACGAGTGTCTATAATACCGATATCGCCTCCTTGAGAATACGGCGGCCGAAATGAGACGTGCTTATCTGACTGCTTATGAACGCCCAGAATTGTCGAAGGCCTCGAGTCCGAGTGTCCATACAATCCGGTTGGGTGCCCGCGAAGGGGGTGCTTAAAACTTTAGAGTTGGGAGGCCTCCGGCCCGTCGTTACCCAAGGACACTCCAGACATTCAATGTAGTATCCCAATGATGCCGATAAGAGCTACTGGTCCAAACTCCTTGACGTGCGGTTTCCGGCAAATTGCAACCTCGAGTTGTCGGTATCAACTCTTAGTAGCATGGGTGGCGGGGGTCTTAGTGGAGGCACCCTCCGGTCCCGATGAGGCACTCGGAAAAATTTGTTATTTGAGGGGAGAGGCTGGCCTCCGGCCCTATATTACTGTCGGCTCTACCTCGACCCTGTCCTGTGACTACAGTACTTCTGACGGGAAACTTAAGAGCACTGTGAACGGCGGGAAAGCGAAGCGAACCATTATCCGTGCATTTCATTTTTATCAGCGCACTCTGATATCGCGCGCGCCCAGTATCATCTGATATCGTACAGTTTCAGATCCTCGTTACGGATTGAAACTGTCAAGCAAAGGCCTAAATTAGACTTTCAGAGTTAAGTATTGACTCGAGACTCAGTTGTAGTTCGACTGGACTTGAATAGATCTGATCTGTTCTGATTTGGTTATCTTTGTAGCATCGTGTAGCTACATCGTATCTGCAATAATCGTATTACATCTAACAAGTTATCTATTGTCGCGCTGAGCATCTAGTATGGTGGGAACTAGACATTCGAACAAGTCTGGACTAGTATCTTTAGGAGATCGCGGTGAGATTGTTTCTCAGGATCCTCATAGGAATCCATTAGATCCATCCGGATCATCATCCGCCTTCGTATCTCCGCTACATCTAGAAAACCAATCGGTTCAAGGCAACGACTCTAACCCGCAAGGTTCTTCTCCTTCTAGTCGTCCCACTACTCGACGCTCACAGCACAAGATGATCTCTAACCGTTTCACCCGTTTCCTCATAATTGAAACTGCGTAAAAGCTTTAGAGGCCTTCGCAAGAAGTCAGTGCTACTTCTACTACAGCATTTCCAGGTCAATTTAACATTTTACCCGAATTTTTAATAATCTAACCACTTCTCTTGAAAAAATACCCTTTTTTTAATCTTCGTGATGGGCGAGCGCAACCTCTACAGAGTATCTTATGGCAGTTTCTACGATGATGATGTAACTGTCAGCTCCCTGAAAATATCTATCTCATTATTGTAGTGATTAGTGCGAATCCTAGTGCATGAGTATCACTCTGTAATCATTTCAGCATTCCTTTGCCTTATTCTTAATTGGCGCGTGGTTACGCACCCGCTTCAATCCTCTTCCCTACATATTGAGTTCAACGGCAGTGATCTCAATATATCTTTCACCGACTGATTTTAACTCATTACCCAAAGTTTTAATATAATAGCTTGTCTTTTTAGAAACATACCCACTTCAAT